TCTGCATTCTTTGATTGGCCAAAGAGGCCAGAGATATATAAGTTATATACCTCTGGCCAGAGATGCCTAGAAAAACCCTTTTTTTTAATAATTTTGAATAAAAATTTTTTAATACAGTTAAATATATATATACAACTTGTTAAAATCAAACTTTGATAATGTATTTAGAAAATACAATATATTTGAACCAAATTTAAAATTGTATTTAGAAAGCTATTGCATTTACTGGTAAGAGAAATTGTAAAGTTTAAAAAAAACTTTTTATTTTGATATTCTAATTTTTTTTACATTATAATTTTTTTTAGAGAAAATTTAATTTACGAAGTACAGAAAAATTTATTGGATTTGGTTATTGGAAAATTTAATTAATTCTGATTGGTTCATATTCGTCGATCTTTAGCTGGCGGACCCAAAATTTTAAAAAAATGGATCGGACTGATCCGGCTAAAAAAACAAATTTAAAAGCGGGCTTAAAGCACTTTGAATAATGTCGTGTAACATAATTATGTGAAATCCGCTGCGCCAGATGATTGGTTCAGTGATTCGGTGGCTACGTATATGATATGTGAGGCAGAATAAACTATTGTAAAGAGTAAGAGTCGACTTGTTTGACTTAGATACATCTGGTGAGTGAGTCCATCTACGTTCTCATCAAAAACTTATACCTTCTTTGGGGACCTAAACAATAGTATAAGAAAACCGCTTGTTTGATACACAAAATGTTCTTGAACCATCTGATCCAAATATAATCTCAGTAAGAAACTGTACTTGTCTAAAAACTTTTTGCTCATCATAAACTTGTTTGAATTTGCTGGTCATATTGCTCTTGTGAAAAAACTTTCATATGAACTACTCTAGTTTAAACACTGATTAAACACGAAACTTGTATTATAATCACGTTCTTTTTCATAGACACTTTTTTTCTATATATATAAACTTTCCTTCCTTATTTGCAACATTCCACCAGTTTTTTTATCATTAATCAAATCACCAACCTTCAAGATAGAAACTCAAAGCTTGACAAAAAACATGAGAATCTTACCATTTTTTCACTTTTTTTTGACACGGATTCGTTATAATTTTTGTGTAGAACAAGGTTATCTGTTCTACAAAAAATTCTCCTTGCGTCTTTATACCGATAGAATTCACAAGTCTCTTATTGCATACACCTCAACGCTAAAATGAGCTCTAAACAACGACGAATGGACCATTCAGATGACGAAGGCGCTCACCACAGTCGTGATAAATTTACGCGCGAACGTAGAAGTAGTCTCGATCGTAGAGATACTCGTGACCGTGACCGCGAGCGAGATCGGGATCGAGATCGAGATAGGGAACGAGACCGAGATAGAGACAGAGATCGATCAATTTATAACGAAAGACGTGGTAAAAGAGAAAATAATAATAATAATTCATCACCTGAGGAAAGAGGTATTAATCGTTTTTATATTTAATATTTCAAAAAAGTCTTAATTTCATAAATATATTAATACTTCATTGTTTTATGAATTTGGCATTGGTTAGATACGTCGAACTATTCAGATCGACGTTCTAAAAGAAGGCGATCCATATCTCCTGATTCAAGGAGGCCACAACAACTTGAAGGAGACCATTACATTCCTAATTATGAGAAGGATGGTTATACACCTGCTCCAAGATACGTTGGCAGACCAGGGGATATGCGATTTCCAACACACGGATTCCCAGTTGGTTTATCACTTGGTATGCACACATGATTTTTAATTTTAACTCACTACTTCGTATCATGTACATGGCAAAACTGGTTAAATTTTCAATTTCCAAAAACAATTAAGGATTTAACGTAGGACCAGCACCACCGATTATACCGCCTGGTGGCCCTCTCATGGCGATGGATTGGACAGGTCCTGGAAGGTAATTTTCAAATGTCAATCTATATAAATTAAAGCATATAAAGCGTATATATCACTTTATTTGTATAAAAATTTTATCATTTACAGGCAAGAACCATTGAAGGATCCTGATCAACTTGACTTTTTAGTGACATTCAAATATTATGCTGAATTTCTTCAGATGTCAAATCCAAAAACTAGATTTACCGATGATGATTTACATAAACGGTACAATGATTATAAAGAAGCTTTTGGCATTAAACAATTGAAGACCTTTTTTGAAGCCCATAAAAAAGAAGAATGGTTTCTTGAAAAATATCATCCAAAGTATATGGAACCAAGGATTACAGCAACTAAGGAATTAAAAAAGAAAAACTATCAGGCATTTATCACAGATTTGAAAAGAGGTCTTTTAGACAATATTGTTAATGATGTTGAAGAGAATAAAGATGATACAAAGACAGACGGTATGCTTATAGCAGAATTCTCATGAAATTTTCCTCTTTTTTTTTATTCTTTTTATTCATAAATAATTTTATCTGTTTTCATTAGAATCTGCTGTAGACAAAAACGAACAGGATGAAGATGCTAATAGACTTTTTATAAAGAGTGTTTCACCCAGTATTTCCAGGCAAAAAATAGAAGATGTATGTGTAATTTGTTTATATGTTCATTCGCTCGCAATTTATTAGCTTAATTTATGTTTACCTTTAATGTAAAGATGTGTAAAGAAATTCCTGGCTTCAAATATCTTGCTTTATCCGAACCTAATCCTCAAAAAAAATTTCATCGTCTGGGCTGGATTGTTTTTGAAGAAGGATCTGACATGGATGCAGCGTATGAAAAACTTAATGAACAAAAGGTAAAATATTAGTAATGTGAATTATTAGTTTCTTTTTTCTTTTAATAAAATCTCACATGTAGGTCTTTCTTAGATTGATGAATTCGTTTTTTATCTGGCTCGTCACAAAAATCAAACTGGGCCCGTTCGTAATCGAACTACTCCAGACGCTGCTAATACTCTTGAAAGATTGAAAAAAGATTCGACAATGGTCATAAAACTTTCTGAAAAACTTGATAAAGATGTTGATAATACAATGACTGGAAGTCAGCATATCAAACAACGACTCGTCTTAATTGACGATGGTCGTCGGCGTGAGGAAATAGATAATGTAAGTTCTTAGTTTACTATAAAAATATGAAACAAATTCAGATAATTTTAATTTTAATAACGCTTAGGTTAAGAGAATATTGGATATTCATATTGAGTACTTGCGCCGGACACATCTTTTTTGTTACTATTGTGGTTGTGAGTCAGATTCCGTGGAGGAACTTAACAGAAAATGCCCAGGCCGTCATCTGAGGAGTTTACCCGGAAGTAATGACGCGAAATCTGTTGGAAAATCACTAAAAGAAAAACAAATTAATGGTATGTTTTATTCTGCTAACTAGTTGTTCACTTTGGATTAATTGAAATTGCTTGCTTACTTCGATTCATATATCATTTGTGAATAGCTACAACATGGTTGAAAACTTTAGATCATAAAATTAGCTACAAAACAGAACCATCGAAATATGAGGATGAAATTGAGAAACATGGTGGACTAAATATTAAGCAGTGTGTATTAATTAAATTTCATGTTATTTAATTATTTAAAGTCAACATTGAACTTTGATGAGCTGATTTATATCATATTTTTAGGGTTTTGGAAAATTTTTACAATGAAAATATTATTGAAGTTGAACCTGGTCGTAAGTTCAAATGCAACCTATGTAGTAAATTGTTTAAAGGTGCAGATTTTGTTAAGAAACACATTGACTACAAACATCACGCTACTGTCGAGACCACGACGAATGATGTGAGTCATTACTTGTTATTAAATTTTTTTCAAAATTAAACTAATTAGAATAACACAAATTAATGAGATTTTTATTATCAATTTTAGGCGAAATTTTATAACAACTACGTTCTCGATCCAAATCACCTTCTTCCTACAACTCCACCTAACCCCACCGCTGCGCTTGTCCCTCAAAGCGTTGCCCCCCTTCCACCTAACCCATTCCCGGTTATGGCTAATGCACCACCACCTCCATTCATGAATTTCAGTTTTCCTATTATGGGCGCGGCTGCCGGAACACCTCATGATCAAATTCCAAGGATTGGATTTGATGGGAGAGATGACAGTCGAGAGCGCGGTTCCAGACAAAATTCGGATACAAGAAGGCAATCATCTAGACCTAAGTAAGTTTAATTAGAATGAATTTTAAAGTAATTTATGGTATTAAGAACAGTAATTAAATATGATATATTTTGTATATTTAGTGATCTTAATGCGGGTTCTGATCCTCGCCAGGTGAAATCTTACGTGGATCTGGACGCACCTGCTGAAGGCGATATTGAAATTAAATATTGAAACTGTTTTCTTTAATCAATCTGATATTAACATTTTTATAACATTAAATTTGAACTTTGATGATTTGTTTTAACAAATCATTTTAATATTATTTTGATCTCGTTTTGCTATTATTATGGTTTAGTTTTCTTTTCACGGAAACTTTATTTATTTATGATAGTGTGAGGAAAAAAGGAAGAAACTGTTGTATAAGAAGTTCGGTGATTATAATTAATAATTGCCGGCCAGTTTCACTTAATAGTTTAATGAAATTTTTATCAATTGTTGTGCAATAGTAGAATCTAGTGCACTTTAATTATTATTCATATACATATACCATCTTTGGAAAGTTATCTTTAAATAAAGTAGATAATCACTTTAGATGAGTAAAGTGATTGTATGTTAATAAGAAAAGGTATGAAAAATATAAAATTGAAACTATATATATAGATGATAAACAATTTAATCACTAGTAGTACTTTAAGAAGTAACTTTCCCTACAATATTGTATTTTCTTGCAAAATAATCATACCACTCATTAAGAGTTTTAAGCTATATATTTTATTTGTATTAGGATTTGAATCATGAATTTAAAATAAATCAGATAATAATGCATGGTTTTATAAAATCTTACCTGAGATTCATCTAAAGAACTATAATCACCAACTACGTCGGTCATTGAACCCGTTGCAAGACCCTAATAATATAAAATTGAGTAAATTTGATCACAACAATCAAAGAAAAAGATTTTGGTTTAATTTACCTTTGAAGCATCTTTCCCAGCAAATGCATGATAGGAACCGCCAACTCCATAAAGAGCACGTTTTTCTGTTACATCAAATACTGTGCCTTTAACCGCAACGTATATCTGACGATTCGCATCTGATCCATCGTACTATTTTTATGACAATATGATTAATGCGTTCTCATATGTAATAACATATAAACAAACTCTGGCTAAACAAACCTGTGCAAGTTCAGCTGTAGTAAAAGGGGTATCTTTTGGTTCTGCCAAGTTAGGAGCTGGCTCATCGGAAACATTTGGAGGAAGTTTGCTATTTGTGAAAAAAATTTAATAAAAATTGATCAAATATCAGTTTAATGCATTTAAAAATGATCTTTTTCTTTCGATTTCACGATATCTAAAAACTGAACACTATCCAAAAAAAAAAATATCTTCAATAATTTTCTGAGCTTACCTCATTTTATATTTAAAAGCTTTTAGAAAACAATTATATTGATTAATATAGTCACTAAAAATTTCTTCAAAGTTTTAAAGCAAGATAAACAAAAATTATTAAGCATTTTAAACAAAATAAACAAAAAAGGTCGTTGAATTTGAAATAATTTGACGTACTTTTAAAAGTATAAAGGATATTTGAATTCCAACTCTTTTCAACCAGAAAGTAAGATAAATATCAGATATCTATCGATGATTTAAAATGTTTCCTAATAAGATAATATTCGTATTACCGTTTATACGTAATCAGATAATATTCGTATTACCGTTTATACGTAATCAGATAATATTCGTATTACCGTTTATACATAATCAGATTTTCTTCTATTCAGTGACATCTGCACGTGCATCTAGATATACGTATTAAGAAAAAATATGTCTATGTCGTTTAACGCTAAACATACTAGATGACGTAAGGATACGAGTTAGAGTCGAGTCGGGACTTTTAACACCCCTAGTTCACATAAATTTTGGGACATTTGGTAAAAATTGACCGAATAATTGTTTGGCCGATTCGATAACGATAAGTTTTTGTTTTCGGTAATGAGCGATTACATAATAATGTGCATATCTTGCGTGATAATGTAGATCGTATAAAAATTCATTATAATTTATACGTATATATTACATAAATAAATAAAATACTTTTATAGATTTTTACTATAATTTTGTTGGTTATAATTTTCAATGCAGTTAAACAAATATTAAAAACTCGAACTTTTTTTATTAACGCTTCTTCATGTTATATATTTATTATGAAAGCTTATAAGATTTGTTGGTTGGCAAGAACAATTTTCGTCATAAATTTTTGTACAGACTAAACACACCAAACATACTAGACATGCTTTCAAGCGAAATCTTAATTTTGGATGTGTTGACATTGTAGTATCGTTCAGAATACAATCGCAAAGAATATATATCATTATCGCTATATTACCAAATCAAAAGTTTATTACTGCCGAATCTAATCGGGCAAATAATTGTTCAGTCAATTTTTTTTACCAGGATGTCTCAAAATTTATGAGAACAGCTGTAATTTTGGAACATCTGGTAAAAAAATTGACCGGATGATTGTTTGGTCGATTCGGTAAAGTTATTGATTTCGACATGATCAGTATATGGGGCCCCACAGCAAAAGAAGGGGATGGGCCAAAAATTTTTTTTTAAAAAAATCCAATATCTGGAAGAATTAGATTGATTAGAATAAAATTATTCTAAAATTAAAACATCCGATTTTTTTGGCCCATCCCCTCCTTTTGCTGTGGAAGGTCCCATATAAAGATATATACAGTGAAACCTCCATAAATGCACGTTCAACCTTAACAACGCGCATTTAGAGAACAATAAGAAATAGAGGCCATGCATATATTATTTGGGCCAGAGGTTGAGGGTGTGCATTTTATAGAGGTTTCACTGTATTTTCTATTACTATATTATATGTAATACAGTGAAACCTCTATAATCTAGATGCACGCTCAACCTTTGGCCCAAATATATGCATGACCTCTATTTCTTATTGTTCTCTAAATGCACGTTGTTAAAGTTCAGTCCCAAGAGCGTGCATTTATGAGGTTTCACTGTACTTTGTTCTACAGATAATTTTATTACATTTAACATTTTTAAATTTCCCAACATGTTTGGTATATTAGTTTGTGCGAAAATTTATGGAAAAGAATGTTTTGTCATCTTGATGGGAAATATGATATACCGTATCCTACCGTAAATAAGCACCAGACCCTCTACCCCACTTTTTATAATAGTTTATACCCTGGTTACTATATCAAGATCGCAGGGCATAAATCAGTTATGTCCTGGGCACTATGTGATAAGCGGGACTTTCAGCCCCGCTTA